TGAATTCTTGTGGGATTCGATATCAGCCAGCTCCCCCCACGCTCACCATTTTTCCCAACGTGGTGTCTAAGAATCCTCAGAGGAACACATTTGTTCAGATCTTTTTTAGCGAATGCACGTTACTATAATGTACTTAGTTACATTTCTAGGTTACTGTTGAATGCATGTTGTGTTAAATTTGCGTTGTGACGTTATATAACGTAGGGGTTGGTTATGGTTGATAGTTGTTGACAACAATGTTGTTTTTGATTTTTAAAAGCCATTCTCGAAGCAAGCTGTGGATCACGTGCAGTATCTTCTGTCCAAGAAGCAAGTGACATCTGCGCTCTTCCAGGTGAGGCGAAAGCGTTTCGCAGTGAGTGCATCTGCTTTGCTTAGCAGTTGGACTTGGTGGCATTTTCTTCCCATGTGTGTAGCTAGCGGAGGACCTGACATATCAGGCCATTCTTATCTGGAGCAGCTTGTCTCCTCATTGAAATGTACTTTTTCGTGTTGTTGTTAATCCTCACCCGAGGATGTTTTCTCCATTGATTTTAGAGAGAGTAGAAGGGAGGGAGGGAGGAAGGGGAAGAGAAAGAAACATTGATGTGAGAGAGACACATCGACTGATTGTCTCCCGTATGTGCCCCGAACGGAATTTCTCTCCTTTCCTTTCAGCCATACATAGAAGAAATCTGTGAAAGTCTTCGAGGCAACATTTTTCAAAAATTTATGGAAAGGTATGAAACTCTCCCCATATATATGTGTGCATGTATGTGTGTGTGTGTACATATATACATATATAAAATCTTTTACTGTGATATTTAACATGTAACATTATAGTATTAGAATAATATATATCTACACTAATAAAAGAGAAACATGCAAATTGGTGTCACTCCGCTACACCCACCAGCCAATCAGAGCGACTATGCAAATCAACCCAACAAAGATGGCGGTTAATTTGCATACGCAGGCGTGGAGCGAAGACTGAAGGCTCCGGCTGGAGTGAAGACTGAAGACTAAAGACTGAAGACTGAAGACTGAAGAGGCTTGGCTTCTCCGCTGCGGCCAGATCAAAGGCCTGGGTCCTGGGTGCCAGAGGAAAATTGGTGCCGGCAGCCAGGGAAAGGAAGGCCTATTGCGCGAATCTTCATGCAGCGGGCTTCTAGTCTACACACACACACACACACACACACACACACACACACGTAAATAAAACCTTGTACTGTGCAAGTGTACCCACTTAACCCAATAAATGCTGTCCTTAAAATGTATGTCAATTTATTTATTCACCAAGTATTTATTGACCATAAACTGTGTACCAGGCTTCGTGTTAGCCTATTTCCTTGATACTTCACATTATAATTTTGATTTGCCAGGAGGGGACAAAATACAATAAAAACTTGTACTTCGTAAGAGCTCCCCACCCCCTTTCGACTTTGAGTTCTTCAGCCTCAAAGTGGTCTAACGTTTAAAGAGGCTGGGGAACCTCGATACTGAAAGCTTCTTATAGGGACACCTTTCCTAACGCAAGCACACGGCTTTCCTCGCCTAATTCATTTGTTTGGACTTTGAAATCGTGTCCCCCAAAGTGGGACAAGCTCGTGCCTGGTTCTAATAGAATTTGAAGGGTGCAGCCAAGTGATGTCTGTGATTGTATGTATCATTAACATACCTACTAGGTGTGTCCCTTGAGCCATGTACGGTTCTGACACATTTCAGAGGCGTCTCTACAGCACTCAGCTCCGGGCAGCCAGTCCTTCCGTGTGGGGAGTACGTTTGTCTGTGGTCACGCACCGCTGGAGTCGGGCTTTCTAACCCGCATCCCCACGCGCTCTGGCTGTGCCTTTCTCCGCACACCCGGCTGCCATCCAGACAATCGCCGTGATGATGCGCCCGCTGCTGGGCCGCCTGCAGCTGGGCCGTGATTGCCCTTTAAGAACAAATGCTGCTTCATGGCAGCGTTGCTCTCCACATGTTCCAGGGATTTAGAAAAGAAACAAGCTTGTGTTGTGGTTCCACTGGAGTTCAAGGGATAATTTTATCCTGGAGCGGAGTCAAGAGTTTGGGAAACGAATATGCATACAAATGATTACACTGTTCTGGGTGGGAGCAGGAACTTGGCCAAAAAGCAGCAGCAGCAGCAGCAGCAAACCGAGGGGATGGGCTGCCGGCTCAGCGCTGACTCCCTGGCTCAGGGCTGACTCCACTGCCGTGTGTCCTCAGGGCTGACCTTTCCCACCTCAGGGTCAGCCCATCTGCTCTGGGATCCTTGGGGTGCAGGGGAGAGATGGGGGTGATCATTTCAATTGGGGAAGAGGCTCAGCCTGCATGTGGTTTTCAAAATCCGACTGCATCAGTCACCTTGACTGCATTTTAGGTGAGCATTTAGAAATTCTGGATTTCCTGAACCATTTACGACTTTGTATAAATGCATTATTTTTAAAGTCAATTAGTTTATTGTTACACCTTTTTGGGTGCTTTTTTTAATGTTAATACATTCTCAAATGAGTACCAAAAAAAAAAAAAAATCCATCTCAGACCAAGCATTTGGTGGTTTGTAATGTGCTACCCCACCCCCACCCCCTTCACCCGCCCCCCCTCCCCGCCCCGTGCCAGCTCTGGACTCCAGTGTAAGAGGAGAGTATGAGTTAGCCCAGCCCCCCACGTGAACTTCACAGCAAATCATCGATTTATAAATACAGCGTACACACCCAGTGTGGTTTTGCCCTTTGCGCTCCCCATACTTAAAAAAAAACGGTTTGAAATCTCAAAAATAGAGTGTTATTTTACCAACCTCATAGAGATGTCAGGAGGATCAACGAAACGCTCGTTAAAAGCCCTTTAGAATTCATGTAAAAAGACGCTGTGTGATGCATGACGCTTTTGATTCTCAATTGATGATCAGCCTCAGAAATATTTTTTAAAGGTCCTGAGAAGGCGTATTAGAGGAAAACCCCAGAGAACTGGATATTTGGTTGCCTTACAGCATGTTATTATAACGCTGGTATGATAATACCTATAACTTGTACTTGATATGAACCCCCGCCCTTGTGCCTTTTCTGTGTCCCTCCTCCCATTTCTTTCTTTCCTTTTTTACTTCATTCCTTCCTTCACTCAAAGAACCCTGAATACTCTGCTTGTGTCTAAGAAATCCTAGCAGGGGCGAGATGAGCCCAGCAGTCAGCAAGAATGTTCTTTGCTTAGATACGTTGCTCAGTAACAAAAAAGTAACCAAAACAATGTATTTATTAAGTAGATATTTTTTTCTTACTTCGTGGGCGGAAGAGCCCTCAGCCAGCAGTTGAGTGGAGTGTGAGAGCACACGCCGCACGATGGCCCACGGCATCTTCCGGGTCTAGTCCGAGGGGGCCTCTCCTACGCCCTCTGTGTCTTTGAGAGGCAGTACATGGTCTGGGTTCAAATCCTGTCCCACCCATTCTCTCACTGTGTGACCTTGGCTGTAAAATGGGTATCAGCATAGTCCTTGCCCAAGGAGTTGCTGGGTTGGGTCAACGAGCCTTTAGAACCTGGCCCATCGGAGTGTTCGCTGCTCTTACAATGATTCGTCAGAGGTAGTTCTTTCGGTCAGTAGCGCCGCACTGTCCAGCACCGTAGCCGCGAGCCGTAGGTAGCTACTGCGCTCTGAAAACGTGCTGGTCTGAGTAAACACGGGCTGTAAGTGCAAAGACCACACCAGGATCAAAGACTTAATAGGAAAACAAGAATGTAGACTTTCTCATTAACTTATGCTGATTACATGTTGAAATAGTCCTTTTTGATATATCCGGTTAAACCAATATATTAGTAAAATTTGATTACACGTGAGTGGCCAGATTATTATGACCACCCCATCAGTACAATGAAGTGAATTCGTTATGCAAATAATAATAATAAAACCTTGAGAGTATTTGCTTAGGAAGTTTTCAATGTTCAGTATTTTTGGAAGTGTCAGTGAAGTACTGATGGGGTGGTCATAATAATCTGGCCGGTCATAATAATCTGACCACTCAGTGTATATGTGGCTTGTGTTACCCTTCTGTCGAACCATGGTGGTTCTGATGAAGACATCCCTGTAGCATCATGACAGTTAAAGGAAACATGATGCCTTTCATGTGAGCCACGAAATAAGGCCCACAGGTGAACGCACTGTGAAAAGAAGTTTAAGAAGACGAACTCTGTTTGAGATGTAAAACAAGTCGGTGCGACGCTAGTTTATCTCCTAACTCTTTCCCTCCTGTCTCTTAATGCGGTTCATTTGATATTTAACTTTCTGGCCACTCTTTGTGTTCTCTTTCAGTGACAAGTTCACTCGATTTTGTCAGTGGAAAAATGTAGAATTAAATATCCATGTGAGTATGGTCTTTTCACTTCCTTTTTTAAAATTAAAAAGTCCCTCTGGCTTCCCTGCGTGAGAAAATACTTGCTTCTGGAGCCTGCTCCCCAGGGTGACACCCTGCCCGAGCAGATGTCCTCACTGCTCTGTGTACGACAGAGCTGCCCTCCCATCCCAGCTGCAAACAAGTTGAATTTTCATTCTCTCTTTTTTTAAAAAAAATATATTTTTATTGATTTCAGAGACGAAGGGAGAGGGAGAACGAGGTAGAAACGTCAGCGATGAGAGAGGATGCCTCCCCCACACCCCACACCGGGGATGGAGTCCCCAACCCAGGCCTGTGCCCTGACCGGGAAAAGAACCGTGACCTCCTGGTTCATAGGTTGATGCTCAACCTCTGAGCCACGCCGGTCGACCTTAATTCTGTTGTTGTTTTTTTTTTTCATATTTCTATAAGCATGTGTTTATTTCTTTAAGAAAGGACATTTGATCACATCTTTTTTAGACCAAAGTTTTACCTTTTTTAAATTTTTTTTTTTAATTTTGAGAATGCTAAGAGCGATCCTCAAACACTGGCTGCTTTCTAACCTGTATTCATTCCCCTGGCTTTCCATCCTCCATTAGCGTTCAAGGTCAGTGATTACAGGATGTAACCTCTGCTGCACTTGGAGAACATGCTTTCTTGCCCAGCCTCTTACTTCCTCCCTCCTCCTTTCCCTTCAGAGGCTTGCAGTTGGGGGAAAAAATTATCAACTGGATTTTTTGGGGTGAAGTTTTTTACTTGAATGGTCCTGTTGGAAGAAGTTATTTTTTTGTTGTTGTTTATTTATTGATTTATTGAACCTCTCCTTTCCATCACATTTCCTGGCAGGATTTAGAAGCATGAGGCAATAACACACATTTAAAAAAATCCCTCTCCTAGCCAGTTTGGCTCAGTAGACAGAGCGTCGGCCCTAGGACTGAAGGGTCCCAGGTTCGATTCCGATCAAGGTTACGTACCTCGGTTGCAGGCTCAATCCCCGGCCCTGTTCCAGGTGTGTGCGGGAGGCAACCAATTGATGTAGCTCTCTCACATCGATGTTTCTCTCTCTGTGTCTCTCCCCCTCCTTACACCCTGTCTGAAAATCAATGGGAAAATGACCTCGGGTGAGGATTAGCCAAAAATAAATAAGTGAATAAAAAAGCCCTTATATCTGCTGTGGATTTTCCTCACGCTCATGCTCCTTCCACCGGCCTGGTGTCTGTGTCCTCATGCCCCTTGTCCCATGTCCTCTCAGCATCAGACATGATCAGACATGAAGCCTGTGGCCAGCTGCCCCTACCTGGCTGCAGAGATGATATTTTAGGGGGTGAGTAGGGGAACTTCTAAGAATCTGACCCTTAGGCTGCCTAGCAGGCCTCTGCTGTTATCCGAGGGCCTCTTCCCATGACCGTAGGATTGTCTGTCTGCCTTGGCACCATCGGGTGCTGTTAAAACTCCGTCTGAAGCAGGGCGTTGCTGACACATCCTGACCAAAAGGAGAAGTGCTCATGAATAAAGCCTCTTTATCTCCTTTGCTCACACTTAGTCTTGCTGCAGGCTCACATGCCCAGCACGAGTCCCCTCTCTCTTCACGGATGTGATCGATAAAAAAAATTCACTTGGCCGGCGTCCGCCGGGTTTTCTGATCATATGGCTCGCTCTCAGGGGAACGCGGATGCCTGGACACGGGCTTATTCTCCCACCACGGCGGTTCCTGGGGTTGCCGCGTGGTTGCCAAACTTCAGGCTTTCAGAGCCGCCCGAGGTTGCTTTGCATTTTGACTAGAAACTTCCCAGACGCTTGTCTTCCGGGCGTGTGTCTTGTAGCCTGAGACGGATGAGGTGGGCACAGCAGTCTCACCCGGGCTCCCACTTCCGTCACCTTCCCGTCTGCCCTCTGTGCTGGGCCTTCGGGGGTGGAGCAGGCAGAGGTTCTAGAAAGCCCTGCCTCCTCCTGCTGCTCCCCTCTGTCCAAGGAGTCAGTCGTGGGAACTGCGGGCCCCTCCCTCAGAACGGCCGCGTTAATAACTTGTGCGTGTCTCGCTTGAAAAAACCCTTCCCATGTCATTTTTATGCGGCCGTTACGTGTCCATTTCGTATTTTGAATTCACAGTTGACCATGAATGATTTCAGCGTACATAGGATCATCGGGCGAGGCGGCTTCGGAGAAGTCTACGGCTGCCGGAAAGCAGACACTGGAAAAATGTAAGTTTTTGACGTTCCTACGTTTTCCCGGGACTATGACGAGGGTTTTGTGCTCGCACCCAAAGACAATCCCTGCACTGACTTTTGGAAGCCCGTGATTCTCGCTCCCGGACTTGTTCTCTCCTAATTAAAGGCCCGCCCACGATTTAGCACATGCAGTTCGGGGCGTCGTAGCATCCAGGCAGCGTGGGTCCCCCAGATGAGGAGCTGGGTACTGTTGAAGAGGGTGGACGCCCTGCTACAAAGGTCAAGGTCTTGGGCCCCATCGCTCATCTCAGTCACTCGTCTCCTGGGAGGTGGACGTGAGTGAGGCAGTTACGTGTGGGACATACGGGTCTTCTAGGGAGTGGATGGGGGAGTTGTGAAGTGTGGGGAACGTATGTTAATATGGAAGCGGTTTAAGTGAACATGTTTCTGAAGGCAAGAGAACGGGCAGGTCTGGTGTGATGGACCCAGACCTCCACGTCTGGTTAAGGGGCAGGCACGGGAGAGCAGTGGGCGAGGCGGGACCGTCTGTGAGGGTGGTGCATGACGTCATTAGTCAGTGTGAGACGGAGGAGTTGAGGTCACCCAGCTCGGTGCCCGCCACCCCCGCTGCCCCCGCATCACCTACGGGGTTGCCGCTCAGCCCCTGCCCGCGTCTGTCCTGGTCCTCCACTTGGCACGTTTCGTATTCTCTGGCGGCTGAAACTTACCTTCACTGGCTTGTGCCCATGGCTCCTCTTCCTGCTGTGGGGCCCTGTGCAGGGTGAAGCTGGTGCCTGGCACCCAGGTGCCTGCCGTCTGGCGTCCTGCGGAGACGGGATCGCGTAGGGATCCCGGGTGTGGGTCTCGGTGCCACACAGCCAGGTCAGATTCGCTTCCGCACTTTCTTGTTGGCTTGGGCAGAGACTGTGCCTCTCTGAGCCTCCACATCCTCGTTTGTAAAGTAGGGATGAAAAAGAGCGCCTGCCTCGTTGCAGAATTAAATGAGACAACACACTGTCAAAACAGAGTCCTGCTATGAAAACTTTCTTTCCCGTCCAGTACTCACCCTGGGGACTTTGATCCTAAACGATACACTTTACTCTTCGCTTATTACATTTCATGAAACGTAGTAGCTTTACTTCATCATCCCAGCGTGTTGAGGTGTTTAGAATATCTAGGCAGTCCCATGATGTTGTAGAAGCACATGCTATCGATTTGTCTCTTTAGACACATTTGCTTTTTCACCTGACTCTCAAAAACTGGCACGGAGTGGAAGGTCTTTCGATTTAGGTTTGTCCGATGCTTTTCCCACAGTTGGATGGGGG